GTGTGTGTGTGTGTGTGTGAGAGAGAGAGAGAGAGAGAGAGAGAGAGAGAGAGAGAGAGAGAATTCAGTGCCATTACCTAGTGATTCAACAGTCCTTTCTTCACTGGGTAATGATTTCACTACAACCATTGACCTTGATGCTACAAACGTAGGAGACTCACAGAAGCAGGGTGTAAAGGGTTAATGTAAAAGTAATGTGATGAGTTAATGTAAAACTAAATGTAAAAAATTACTCTGCTCAACTTTCTGTGACCCTGCTTCCTTGTAATTCCGCAAGGAGACTTGGTGTACCATTGATAAATCATCGATAGTCTGAAAGTTCCCAGAAAACAATGCTCCCAGAAAAACTGTATGCTGAGTAATGGTCACACTGTCCCTAAAGGTACTGCTCTATGTTAAATTACAAATTTGTTTGCCAAACAGGATGCAGTTTCTACCTTTAAAACCTCTATACCTCTAAGGCTCCTGGCCGTTTGTCCTCTCTTGCGTGAGTATGATCAAGTGGTCCTGGGCCCGGTAATAAAAGGCTCATATTTAAATTTTAATTTGGACTCAGATCTGGTTTCTATGTTGAGAACCCGTAACACAGAGAAGCAGGTGGACTCAGCAGTGGCACAAGGCGGAGGTTCTCCAGGGTACCCAGGCCAGGCTTCCTGGAGGAGGTTATGCCACGCAGAGCTGCCTCTTCTCCACATGCTGCGTGGCTATGTTCTTCTCATTACCTTGGCCCTGGTCTTGGGACCTGAGCCACTCTTTCCCTGATTCCAAGGAACATCTCAGAAGCATTTAGGAGCCATCACTAAAACCCTCAGGCACCTTGCGCCTGTTATCTTAGGTGAAGTAAGTCCTCCGGGAAGCCATGGCAGGTCTGTGCATGTTCTTTTGTCTCAGCTAGGAGGAATTATGGTGGAGCAAGAGCACGCTGGGTCGAGAGGCGGGTCCAGGGGCTGGCATCAGAGCAGTAGCCTCACAAAGCAAACTGCCAAGGATGGGAATGGGGCCAGCCTGTGCCTGCAAGGGGTTGTGCTTCGTGGGAAGGTCCCCCTCAGTCAGCCAATGAAGCAAGGGGCTCCCTACACCCCACTTGGCATCTAACACCCAAACAGCTGCCTTTGACCTCCCCTCCCCCACATTCCAGTCATTACTGCCCTGGCCCAGCCTCTGAAATGATTCTTTTGTCCCAGCCTCAACTCTTGCCAGCTTCACTGTCTGTCTCCCATGTGCCTGCTGACAGGCTCCTGGACTCTGGTCAGAACTTGTTCTCCTCACTCACCACCTTCACTAAAGTCTCACTGCTTTCAGCCAAGAACCAAGTCCCCTCAGCTCTCTTGATTCTACCCTACCTGCTGGCCAGCCTCTACTGCTCTACCGTCCCCTCACACTTTCCATTTCCCCCAAAATTCCACTGCCCTGAGCATCAGTCACGCCTCTAAACCCTAGACACACTATTCTTCTGACTAGAATTCCCTTCTCCCCACCCCTGTCCATTTGCAAAATTAAATTCGTTTTTTTTTTTTTTTTTTTTTTTGGTTTTGTTTTGTTTTGTTTTGTTTTGTTTTGTTTAAATGAATTTAGGACAGGGTCTATAGGGTGTACAGGGTCTCACTACATAGATCAGACTCTTAGTGATTTTCCTGCTTTCAGCCTCCCAAGCGCTGGGATTACAGGCGTGAACCACCACACCCAGCCTCAATTGCCTTCTCATTGTGTTCCTAGGGCGGGGCCGGCAGAGGACAGGCAGGCCACAGCGCTCGGCCGAAGCAGGCGCATTTAGTCTGCTGAGCTATCTGGCTAGCCCCTTAAAATTAAATTCTTAATCACTCTTCAAAACTGCTTGGAGGGCCGGCCAAACAGCTCAGCAGATTGAAGCGCCTGCAAGCAGGCACAGAGGCTGGGGTTTCAATCCCCGATCCTGCGGTGCGGGCCCCGCTCCCGGGGCGCGCTGAGATGGCGATTCAGACTGGGCATGGTGGCATGCGCCTGTAATCCCAGTACTTGGGAGGGTGTAAACAGGCAGATCACTACAAGTCTGATCTAGTAATGAGACCCAGAACACCCTGTAGACCCTTCCCTTAAATACAGAAAAGAAAAAGAAAACAAAAAAAAAAAAACAAAAAGCTGCGTGGAGCCAAGCAAGGTGGTGCACACCTGTAATCCCAGCACTTGGGAGGCTGAGGCAGGAGGACCAGTTCAAATTCGAGGCCAATGTGGGCTACATATTGAGCTCAAAGTCAGCCTGAACTACATAGCAAGAGACCATCTCTAAAAAAGAGAGAAGGCTTTAGGAGAAAGGTAAAATCCAAACATTTTTTTGGAGACAAGTTTCTATAGTAGACTGGCCTTGATTTTACTGCTCAGTATGTTTTGAACATTCTGAACAGTATGTTTTGATCTCACTGTATAGCCCAGGCTAACCTCAAATTTGAAGCGATCCTCCTGCCTCAGCCTCCTGAGTGCTGGGATTACAAGTGTGCACCACCACACCCAGATTTCTGAATCCTTCTTACTGTACCCCTAGGGCAAAGGGCTTATCTAGGCTTTTGAGTTAGAGTACAGACTCAAATCCAAAAAATCATGATTGACAGGTGAGTGCTTTATTTATTGTACAGTCAAAGAATTAACCAGATTTTACAAACTTACATAGTTACACACACACACACACACACACACACACACACGAACAATGTGTTTATAGGCTGAATCAACATCCTTGAATATCTGTCTTTAAGTAATTAAGCCTTTCCCTAATTCCTTCTGTTCTTCGGAAATACCAGGAAGGAGGTTGAACAAGGTGAGCCCCAGGATTCTCTGGGCACTGATACTTCATGAAATACAGAAAATCTTACCATCACAAATAATGCCGACCTTCAGCATTTGGTTTCAGGATGAAGGGATGCTTGTGCACCACAAGCATTTATTGCACATCAGCTATGGGCTAAGGACTTGGGACTTGGAACAATTTTGCAGGATCCATTTGTCCTCATTTCACAAAGAAGAACATCAAGATGCAGATGCTATAAGCTAGGTTCACACAGCTAGGAAGACTTGAACAGGGATTTGAACTGAGTTTCATCTGGCTCTCAACGGATTTCTAAGAAGAACAGTAAGGGGAACTGTTGGGCCAGGTGGCTAGGGAGGAGGACCTTGTCTCCCACCCCTCATCCTTTGGCTGCAGGACTGCTTACCCCCATCCTCGAACTCCTCACGCAGGTAGATCCAGCGCTGCACCTGTGCCCCCAACGTACAGGTTGCCAGAAGCAGCAGCAGCAGCTGCAGCCTGTTCATCTCACTCAGCCTTGGCCAGCCGAGCTGCTTACCGGAGCGCTTCCCCAACACTGCCTTTCCTCTGACCCTGTGGCAGGGGCTGAAATCAGCTGTGTCCTGTACCTGGCTGCCTCCCATTCGTGGCTGGATGGGAACTGCAGCCAATGGTTGGGGACCACGCACTGAGAGTGTCCAAGGAGCTAATGTAGTCCAGGGAGTGACAGCACAGGGCCCTTGGGGGTGGGGCAGTTGGCAAGGCCAGCTGAGGCTGGCCCCTGGGGTCCCAGGCTGCCAGCTCAGTTCTGTGCAGGTGGTTTCAGAGCATTCTCATCGGATTCCTTCTACCAGCCCTCTGTCCCTCTCCTTCCTCCCATCCACCCAACGTTGTGATGTCTTTTTATCTTAACAGAAACACCCAGAATCTCAGTGGGCCTAGAAGCAGACCAGATCCAGTTTGTGAGCTCAGTGATGGCTTCCTGAGAGAAGTGATCCTGAGGTTAGCCAGGCGGAAGAAATGAAGAAAGGGAGAAAGACGAGCAGAGGGAATATGATGTGCAGAGGCCAGAGAAAGAATTGCAAGTTAATATCATTTCTATAGCAACTCATACTGCGTGATTCTGTCATTGTACGTGTTGTGAGGAAAAGAAGGTTCAAAGAGGGGGAGGCACCCGCATTTGTTGATCGTTGTGATATGTACTAAGCAC